GCTGACCATGGGGATTGGTGAAACTCTTGCAATTTCTTTAAAAACTGTGCGCGGCGCTGAGGCGAGAACTACATAAAAAACGACCTGCCCTCAACCTGCGAAGCGCTGGCAAATTCTGAAGACGAATGTGCGCGGTGCTAAGGCGAGAGCCACATTTTACACACGACCTGCCCTCAATCCGTGAAACTTTCTGTATTTTTGAAACGATGGTGCGCGGCGCTGAAAGGAGAACCACCTCTCAAGCATTACCCGCCCTCAATCCGTGAAGCTCTTGCACAGTTTTTCAAACGAATGTGCGCGGCGCCAAGGCAATAACCACATTTTGGAAGCGGCCCGCCGTTTATTTGTGAAACTGTTGTCAGTTCTAAAGCTTCAGGCTCACACATTGTAAGGAAGTCTCAGGCGAAACGCCCGGCCCGCCCTTTCGACTGGCTTCGGGGTGCGACAGGGAGGAGTTATTCATAAGGACAGGAATGGAGGAGGAGGAGGAGGAGGAGGAGGAGGCGGAGGCGGAGGCGGTGGCGCAGGCGGAGGCGCAGGCGGAGGCGGGGGCGGAGGAGGAGGAGGAGGAGGAAGAGCACGAAAATGAAGAGGAAGAAGAGGAGGATCAATTTTAGCAGTAATAAGAAAAATAATACGAATCAAATTACAACGAATAGTACAATAATGGTAATACTAGCGCTAATATGCAGAAGAAGAGGAAGAGGAGGAGTTGGAGGAGGAGCAGTGTAAACCCAACACTCGTCGACGATGTTGGGCTAAACCATCCCCCCCAAGCTCCCTCTTCACAGGCTCCTGCAAGTGTTCATATCCATCGAGGGAGCTGCCTCATTGGGAGACAGCCGTTTGAAGACCCTGAACCGTTCCAACAAACCCGTCGTCGAGACTCCAACGCCATGGATCAACCTGATTGTGCGTCCTGACGATCCTCAATCGTGCCAGAACACCATTCCTGGGACTTCAACACCGCAAATCAACGTAACTGTTGTGCCCCCCACAATCCAGAATCCTTCCAAAACACCAGCCCTGGAATGTTAAACATGAGAATCCGTTGAACCCTTGTGATTTTTTGTTGCAACGAGTGCGCGCGGCACTAAGCCGAGAGCCACATTTTGAATACGACCCGCCCTCAATCCGTGAATTTCTTGCGGATTTGTACAATGAGTGTGCGCGGCGCTAAGGCGAGAGCCACATTTTGAAAACGACCTGTTGTCAATCCGTGAAGCATTTGCCCATTTTGAGACGATTGTGCGCGGCGCTAAGGCGACAACCACCTTTTGAAAATGACCCGCCCTCAACCTGTGGAGCTCTTGCAAATGTTAAAACGCATGTGCGCGGCGCTAAGGCGAGAGTCACATGTTGAACATGACCTGTTTTCAATCCGTGAAGCCCTTGCATTTTTTGAAACGAATGTGTGCGGCGCTAAGGCGGGAGCCACATTTTGAAATCGACCAGCCCTCCATTTTAGAAGCTGTTGTCAATGTGTAAGCCTCAGGCTCATAAATGGTGAGGAAGTCTCAAGCGAAACGCCCGTCCCGACCTTTCGACCGGCCTCGGGGTCCGACAGGGAGGATTATTTGTAAGGATGAGGAGGACGAGGAGGAGGAGGAGGAAGAGGCGGATGAGGCGGAGGCGCAGGCGGAGGCGGAGGCTGAGGAGGAGGAGGAGGAACAGGAGGAGGAGGAGGAGGAAAACGAGGAGGAGCAGGAGGAGGAGGAGGAGGAGGAGGAGGAGGAAAAGGAGGAGGTGGAGGAGGAGGAGGAGGAACCACCTTGTGGCGCCATGCTCCTCACGTCATGGTCTGGAGCTGTACAATAGTTGTCTCACCCGAGCAGTGTTTCAATCTATTCTGCGGAGCGCCTCCGTCGTGTAGTTTTCTGTTTGCAAGTAGGACAGTTCAGGTGTGCGGGTGTCCCGACTCACGGGTAGTAATCGACGCTGCCTTTCGTCTGGTTTGCTCGCCTTCTGCTTCTCCCAGCGCAGCCGTCTCTGGTTCTGGTGGTGCTGTTGACTCCCCTTCTTCGTCCGCCTCTCTCTGTTCCTCCTCCTCGGCTGCTGCAGAGACGAGGTGCACATCGCATTGTTTTGACGTATGCGTCCTCCTTTTGCACGCCCTGTTGGAGACCCTTGACTAGTCGGACCCGCTCTGCTTTGTATCCTCCCAGGTCTCCAACTCTTTTGCCGCCGATTCCTGACTCGCAGCAAGTCATATGCCCTTCGCGTGTTCCCATGTGCCCACCCATCTCTCGTGGTGGCAGATTTGAGTATTCCTTCGCCCTTATCGGATCATGTGTTCTGGTGTGGTCTGGTCTTGCCTTGTGTGGTCTGGTCTGTCTTGGTCTGGTCTGATCTTGCCCAGTATTGACTTGCCTGGTCTGGTCGATCGGGTGAGGTGTGGTCCAGTGTGGCGTGGTTTGGTCTGGTTTGGCGCAGTTTGGTCTGGCGCGAAGAGTTGATGCGGAACCGCAGCATTCTGCTGCTTTCGTGGCCCGCAGAATCCGGACGCTGCACGGCCCTCGATTACACCAGATTGACCGTTTCGTCCTGCTGCTTCTGCGCGCGCGCTCTCGCTCTAAACGCCGCTTGCGTGCTACGTGCTCGCACGTATGCACCCGCTTCTCGCTGTCACTGATAGTCGTTTTCGCTTGTCATGCTTTCGTAGCGTGCGGGACTTCCTCCAGAATCGAAGTTGTTCGGGCCCCTCACGAACTTCTTGCCCTGAGATGGCCTCGACCAGCGCCACTTCTTTTCGTTCGTTCCCGTCCTCCTCCTCTTGTGCACCCTCTCTCTCTGTCTGTCTGTCTGTCTGTCTGTCTCTCTCTCTCTCTCTCTCCCCCTTCTCCCTCTTTCCCCCTCTCCTCTCTCTCTTCCCCCCTCTCCCCCTCTCTGCAATGACATAATCTGAATGCCCCTCTCCTCTCTCTCCCGAAGACGTGCCGAACGGGGCGCGCCTCTCTCCGCCTGTTTGCGCGGTTCTGCACGCAGGATGCGTACGAGCTGCTTGTTCTTCGGTGTTCTTCCATCCCAGCGTTTCAATTCTTACACACCGGCGCTCCCGCCATATGCTGGCCTCATGTTCGGATCGGCGCTTCGATCCCGTCGTTCGGAGTGGCGCTCTTGCCCCAGCGCAGGCCACTTGTCTGGATCCGAGTGCTTCCTCAACATTGTCGCTCCCCTCCGTTCCCCTCCTTTGCTTTCCCCTGGTCCGCCTGCTCCTCCCGCTCTCCCTCTCCAGCTGCTGCTGCTGCTGCTGATGCTGTTCGTCCTCGTCCTCCTCTTTCCTCCTTCCTCATCCTCCTCTTCCTCCTGCTCATCCTGCTGCTCATCCGCCACCTCCTCCACTCTTCGCAGCTCCCTACTTCCGATTGCGAGTAACGCGATGGGGTCCTTTCGGGAGTTCCAGGTCCGCTACGACACGCCAGCGGACAGAGGGAACAGACCAGCGCAACGGGAAGGAAAGGGATGGGAGGGTGGGAGAGGCAGGATGTCAGATGCGGAACGAGCGCGTCTAGCTTGTCCCCCCCCCTTCTCTCTCCCTCCCCAGACATGCGATGCATCGATTTCTTCGCCGCGCGGTCCCCCAGAAGTCCCGACCCCTTCACCTGGGGCTGGCTCTTCATCCCCAGTCGTCTTCGGTGGCCCCCCGCGGCCTGGCGAGGCCCCCCCACGGGCCGAAGACGGCCACAAACCGCCCATCGTGATCTCCGCACGCAGGGCGCGAGCGGGGGTGCGCCGAGAGGCTGCACAACACCCCGAGTGCACGCCGGGCCACTTCTCTTCGTGGATCTTCTTGGTGTCATCGTCCACTCGTCGCCTCTGTCCCTCGTCCCCCGTCCTCTTCCTCGTGCCCCCCTCCCTCTCTCTCTCTCTTTCTCCCTTTTTCCCTCTCTCTCTCTCCCCTTCTCTCTTCCTCTCCCTCTCTCTCCCTCTCCTCTCCTGCAGTTGCACGTTATGTAGACTACCCTCCTCTCTCCCTGGACTCCGTCCTGAAGATGTCCGGCCCTCTCCGCGTATTGTTTTTTATTGGATTTCAAGCAGTGATGTTCTTTTTGGTTATTTCAATCCATTGTGTTCAAAATGGTGTTCCCGCTGCAGCTTGGGTCTCATTGTCTGATCGGTGCTATGCTCCCGTCGTCCAAACTGACGCTCTCGCCCCAGCGCGGGCCACTTTTCTGGGTCCGACTGCTTCCTCGTTGTTGTCGCTCCCCTCCTTTCCCCTCCTCCGCCTTCCCCTGGTGCTGTTGCTCCCCCTGCGCCTTTCAGTTTAGTTTTTGCTGCTGCTGTTCGTCCTCGTCGTCCTCCTCATCATCATTCTTGTCCTCCAGCTAATATTCTTGCTCCTCCTCCTCCTCCTCCTCCTCCTCCTCCTCCTCCTCCTCCTCCTCCTCCCCCTCCCTCCCCCTCCTATGCGCGCAGCTCCACTCTTCCGATTGCGCATATCACGGGTGGGGTCTTCTCGGGAGTTCCAGGTTCGCTATACCTCGCGTCCGCGGATAGGGCGCGAGCGCACCCAGCTTGCCCTCTCCCCCTCTCCTTCCCCCCTCCCTCCCTCCCCCCTCCCCCCACCTCGGTCCTCCCCCCCCCTTCCCCTCTCCTTTTCACCCTCCCCTCTTTCCCCCCCTCCCCCCCCCGCCCCCCCCCCCCTCCCCCCCCCCTCCCCCCCACCCCTCCCCCTCGGTCCTCCCCCCCCCCCCCCCCTCTTTTCTCCCCTCCCCCTCCCCCCCCCTCTTTCCCACCTCACTCCTCCTCCCTTCCCCCCCTCTTCCCCCTCCTCTTCCCCCTCATCTCTTTCCACCCCTTCCCCCTTTCCACCCCTCCCCCCACCTCGGTCCTCCCCCCCCCCCCGCTCTCTTTTTCCCCTCACCTCTCCTCCTCTCCTCCCCCTCCTTCCCCTCTCGTTCCCCGCTCTTCCCCCCCCCTTCCCCCTCCTCTTCCCCCTTCCCCCGCCCTCTCCTCCTCCCCGCCTCGGTCCTCCTTCGGCCCCCGCGGTCGCCCGGCCGAGCCGCGGCCAGCGCGGCTCGGGGCAAAGGGCCCCCCCGCGCGCGGCCGCCAGGGGGCCAGGGGCCAGTGGCCGCGTCCCCTCCAGACCGTGAGCTGCCGCTGGGCCCACCGGTCCCGATGCACCCCTAGCCCTGGTAGCACGATGAAGATGCAGCCTCACTGGGGTCTCCGTCGCATCAGGGATGATAATTCTGGGTGTTTTGGCTCGGTGCACCTGCAGACAAGACCCCCTGTTCCTACCGTTCCTGGCCCTCCTGACTTAGGTCCCCTCCCAAAGGGTTGGGTTTCCTTTTTTGGTCAACCACCCCAGGGCCCCTCTCGATCCGATCGATCCGCTTCGACATCGCTCTCGGCCACTGCGACCCGATTCGCTTTCGGTGTCCGCCCCTATCCGATGCGGCTCGAGGCCTGCGTGGCGTTGCTGTGCATCCTGGTGGGGCCGCTCCCATTCGATTCCGGCTCCGTGCCGATGCGGCCCGATCCGACGCACCTTCCGACTCGGCATCGATGCTCCGATCCGAGGCTGGCTGCCCCTGCCCCCCGTGGCTGCGGCCTGCCCTGGCCCCACCTCGGGGCGGACGGAGGTCAGCCACGCGCAGAGGGGGTTCTTCAACAAAAAATAGTATTATCTCTGTTTACTCACTTGTTATATATATATATATATCCTAACGGGTGCACTTGCACCTGGTGGTTCTCTCGTAGGTGGTCCTGATCGTCACCATCGTTCGATGTAGGTGTGTGTTGTGCGTCACTGATGATGTTTGTTGGTTGGTGGTACGTCGTAGGTGGTTATTGTTCGTACTAGGTTGTGTTAGGTGGTAGCTGTAGTTCGTTGTAGTGCGTGGTTCGTGTTCGTCCTATCACCAGTGGTACAAAGTGATCATCTCGTTTCCGAGGCGTTGTGGTTCGTTACTAGATTGTTGCGGCTGGGCAGTTGGACAAGGTCGTAGGTGGTAGTGCGTCGTACATGCTGGATGGCCTACTGGAAGGAGGGGTCCGTGACTGTAGCTCCTGGTGATATACAGATTAGCATGGGGACCACTACCAAAAAGCACTGTGCTTTTTGGTGCTGTTTTCTACATGGTTTTTCTTGCAGTTTCTTCACACATGCGAGCATCGCAATTCACTGATTCCTGCACCTCTATGGGCCTCTCGTTCGAGACATCCTCACATGACATGGAGTAGGATAAGCAACGCGCGACACACTTGCTGCAAGCACTGTTTGGGAACAACCTGTATTCAGAGGGGAACTTGCGGGACCCTTCCCACCCCCTCCCCTACATCTTGCACCACTGCACATACTACGTACACATACTACGTACACATACTGGATTCAGAGGGGAACTTGCGGGACTCTTCCCATACTACGTACACATACTACACATATCATACATTTTGCACCAGGTGCAAGTGCACCCGCAGGGATACATATATATATATATATATATATGTATACACTCACGGATCGGGGGGTGGAGGGGGAAGGGCTTCTTAGAAGCACCCCTGCTTCTCAGAAGGCGCGGGCCTTCTCAATACATGCAAGGCCAGCGCCTTCTAAGGAGCAGCTTCCTTCTAAGAAGCCCTCCCCCCTCCCTGCACCCCCTCTGTGCGCACCGCCAAGGAGGTGGGGGAGCTCCGAGGGGGAGCGGTCTCGGGCTCGCGGTTCGAGGCTTGTGGATGGTTTTTGTCGGTGTTCGGCGGGGGGAGCTCCGGGGGGAACGGCTGCGGGCTCGCGGTTCGAGGCTTGTGGATGGCTTTGTCGGTTCTCGGCGATTTCCCGGCCTCGGGGTGCCTCACAGCGCCTGGCCGGGAGCTTTGCGGGGGTGCCCGGATCGCCCCGAACGCCCGCCTGGGAGCCGAGCTAACATGGCCCGAGAAGCGAGGGGGAGGAGGGAAGCGGAGGATCGGAGGAGGGAGGCTGCCCAGACATGATGTTCGCGTCGTGACGGGTGGTTTGTGGCTGTTGTTTTGTTGGGGGGGCCCCCAGTGGCCCTCGCCGGGCCCCAGAGCCGTCGTATAACGAATCCGGATGAGCTGAATCAAAGCCTCCCCATGCTGGATTCAAGCCTTCTAAGATACCAATCAGTACCCCCTGGCATTCTGTCAGACGCGGCATCCGTCGAGTCCAGTGCTCGTCCTGTCGATAGGAGCGTTGCGGACGGGTCGAGGAGGAGCTGGAGGGTGAGGAGTACATGGAGGAGCGATGTGAGAAGGATGAGCAAGAGGATGACGATACCAATATTTGGTAGTAGTACAAGTGATAATGCAACTTATGATGATGACGATGACGATGACGATGACGATGACGATGATGATGATGATGATGATGATGATGATGATGATGATGATGGTGGTGGTGGTGATGATGATGCTGATGCTGATGCTGATGCTGATGCTGATGATGCTGATGCTGATGACGATGTTGATGCTGACGATGCTGCTGCTGATATTGATCATGATTATGATGATGCTGCTGCTGATGATGATGTTTCCTGCTGCTGATGATGATGATGCTGGTGTTGATACTGTTGATCATACTGATGACGATGATGGTGGTTGCGGTGGTGATGATGATGATGCTGTTGATGATGATGCTGATGTTGTTGATGATGATGATGATGTTAATGATGCTGATGTTGCTGATGATGAGGCTGCTGATGATGATGCTGCTGATAATGATGTTGCTGCTGATGATGATGCTGATGATGGTTGTGATGATGATGTTTAATTCGATGATGATGCTGCTGCTGCTGATGATGATGATGATGATGATGGTGGTTGTGGTTGTGGTTGTGGTGATGGTGGTGGTGATGGTGATGGCGATGACGATGGTGCTGGTGCTGGTGATGGTGATGCTGATGGTGATGGTGATGGTGGTGATGATGATGATGATGATGATGATGATGATGATGATGATGATGATGAACTCGATGATAATGCTGCTGCTGATGACGATGATGCTGCTGCTGGTAATGCTGATGCTGAAGCTGATGTGGATGATGATGATGCTGATGATGACGATGATGATGCTGATGCTGATGATGATGATGATGCTGATGATGATGCTGATGATGATGATGAGGAGAAGGAGGAGGAGGAGGAGGAGGAGGAGGAGGAGGAGCTGAACAACATCAAGCCATCGCATGTCTGGCGAGGCAGTTGGTGGGGGCTCCCCCCCTCTGCCCCTCCCCCATCTTTCGTCCGACCGTATCACCCTCGTCGCCCCCGCCTTCCCCACGCTCTCCTCTCTCTCTTCCTCCTCCTCCTCCTCCTCCTCCTCCTCCTCCTCTTCCTCCTCCCTCTTCTCCTCCTCCCTCTCCTCCTCCTCCTCTGTCGGTCTGTCGGTCGGTCGAACCAAGCATGGGTCGAAGCATGCCTCCTCCCCCTCTTCCTCCTCTTCCTCCTCCCCTCCCTCCCTCCCTCACCCCTCCCTTGTTCGTGGGGGAGGGGGTGGACCAGACCGGTGGGCGCAGCGGCGGTCCATCAGCTCTGCATGGCCGGATGAGGCCGGGTCTCCCTTCCCCCCCGCCGCGGGCTTGGAGTGGTGCGCTATTGCGGCTGGGGGCTCGGGGGAGGCTTGCTCGGCTCTCTTTCGGGTCAGAGGGGGTGGGGGGAGGAGGCTCGAGGCCTCCCAGCTGGGGTCATAGTTGATGGTGTCCGAGGATCGCGCTGCATCGCCGAAGCATCGGTGATGCGGCTCGATGTGGATCCAGATTTTCTCCACGCCGACGTCACGCCGCCGTCGCCGATTCATCGCCGACGTCGCCAAGGCATCGTCGATGTATCGGTGATGCATCGACTGTGCGGTCCGATCCTCCGACCCCATCTGCTCAGAGCCCATCTGGGAGGCCTACAGGGGCAGGACAGGGAGGGGCGAGAGCAGAGAGTCTGTGGAGGAAGTGGTGCGATGCCGCTGGCTGGATTCTGCGCGGAGTTCTGGTCAGAACGCACCCCATGGGAGGTCCAGGGAGTAGCGGTATCGGTATCGTTTTGCTTACCCATGGAGGGCGAGGGGTAGGGGGGGGGAAGGGCAAGCTAGTTGGGTGTGCTCGCGCCACATCTGACATCCCGACTCTCCGTCCCATCCCTTCCCACTGCGCTGTATCTTTGACAGTCGCCGTGTCTGGTGTGAGGTCGGGTCTCAATCACAGGCTTGTGTGAGCAGGGGCGGAAGCGGGGTGGGGGGAGCGGGGTGTGGGCGAGGGGGGAGGCGAGGAGAAAGCAGGGAAGGCAGGGGAGAGGGAAGGGGGAGCGGAGAATGGGGAGCTCTCTTTTCGCTCCAACTGCCTCTGTCTGGTTGCCCGCCTGCCCGCCTGCCCGCCTGCCTGCCTGCCTGCCTGCCTGTCTGTCTGTCTGCCTGTCTGTCTGTCTGCCTGTCTGTCTGTCTGCCTGTCTGTCTGTCTGTCTGTCTGTCTGTCTGTCGGTCTGTCTGTCGGTCTGTCTGTCTGTCTCTCTCTTTCTGTCTCTCTCTCTCTCTTTCTGTGTGGCTCTCGACATATCTGTCTCCCTGGCTGCCTCTTTCCCTGTCTCTCTTTCTCTCTCACTCGGCCTCTCTGTCCACGTCTCTCTCGGTTTTCTCTGTGCTGTGTGTGTCTCTCTCCCTCGCTCTCTCCCTGTCCCTGCGCCCCCCCCCCTGGCGGCGCGCGCCGCCTGCTCCTCCTCCTC